GCACCTGCCCGGAGGGAGGGTGCCACCGGCACCGCGTCGCGGCTCCTTCGGGGGTGCCTGCTCCCGAAAAACGCTTCCCTCGTCCACCTGGAAGCTGCTGGGAATGAACCTCCATGGCAATAGGGCAGGGGCGGCAGTGTGGGACGTGTTTGTGTCACCCACCGGCCACCTCTCCCTTCCCCAGGCACCAGCAGGCACAGGCACCCCTCCCAGCACCCTCCCAGCACCCTCCCAGCACCGCTGCAGAGGGTACTGTACCTTTGGATTTTCCTAAGGCTGCATGGGCAGAAACACACGATTATTAGTGTAAAAAAAACCCCGTCAGTGATGGCGGCAGTGTGGGACGTGTTTGTGTCACCCACCGGCCACCTCTCCCTTCCCCAGGCACCAGCAGGCACAGGCACCCCTCCCAGCACCCTCCCAGCACCCTCCCAGCACCGCTGCAGAGGGTACTGTACCTTTGGATTTTCCTAAGGCTGCATGGGCAGAAACACACGATTATTAGTGTAAAAAAAACCCCGTCAGTGATGGGGAGAGCCCTGGGGATGGGTTTTGGAGACAGGGAGAGCCCTGGGGGTGTTTTTGGAGATGGGGAGAGCCCTGAGGGTATTTCTGGAGGTGGGGAGGGCCCTGGGGGTGGGTTTTAGAGATGGGGAGAGCACTGGGGGTTTTTTTGGAGCTGACCTGACTCTCTGCGGTCCTGCCACGGTGGCACAGGGAGGGGCACGCGCAGGCTGGCAGTGGGGAGCTCTCCCCAGGAGAACAGCCCGCAGACCTTGGGGACACCAGGGCACCCAACCCCGGCACGGCAAAGCCCCGGTGCCACCCCATGGGCCACCCCACTCCCATCTCAGCGGGCTGGGAGCAGCTGTCAAACCCCAAGCTCACCTGAGCACCCCCAAGAGCCCAACGTGGAGACCAGTGGGTCCTCCCACCCCAGGACCACCCAACCTCCATCAGCTCAGTGCCACCTCCACCAGGGCGGTGGCAATGCCACCACCTCCCTCTCCCTGCACCCTGGCACCGCAAAGACCCTACCCATCCTTCTTGTAAAACTCCAGCATCATGTTGTCCGTGGCCACGCTGAGGGGCCGCCGCGCCTGGTCGTGCTGCCGGCGGGCGGGGGGGGCCCTGTCCCGGGGG